TACCAAAAAATTAAAAATTAAAAAATTTATTAAGTATAAAAAGGGTGACTTTTAAATGACAAGCAATCATTTTTCGGATTTTTAAACCAATTCCAGCTAATAATTTATGACAGTAGAATAGATAATAATTAAATACTGGTTTTATACATATTTCTCTTTTTTCCAAAGAGGTTTTTTCTTCTTAACTAAGGTTTACATACACACACACACACACACACACACACACACACACACACAAATTGCAAGCCCTAGCATCCTCAGCTACAAGGGAAAGAACTTGTCAAATAAAGCTTGTAGCCACTTAATTTTTCAGCTTCATTATCTGCATAAAGATTGACTCACACAAAGCTGAAAAGGGTGACAGGGAAAGCCAAAGCCATAGCAATATAAAAAAAGATAAGTTCAAAGACAGAACTATGCCAGATATAAAAGTTCAATGTCATTAAACAACAATCAGCGTCATAGCACAGCCTCTAAACTTTTTGCACTCCAAGATTTTTGTCATTTTATCTGCTTTATTACTGGAACTAGTTGCATTAAATCAGAATCTTGATGTTTTAAAAAGTTATCCTCTCCTTTTGTTTATTCCTCAGTAATTCAAAAGTCATTCAGCCATGTGAATACAGAGAAAATTTTCACACTGTCATTGTAAAAATAAGTAGTAACTCGGGAGAAAAAGAATCAACTTTTACAATTGTGGTTAACAAAATTAACTTCCATAAAATGATGTTTGGCAATCAAAGAAGTATTTTTGGACTCATAAAAGATGCAATTTTAATGGTATTCACCTAAACAGAATGATTTTTAAAGATGTTTCTTAGAAAGCTCTTAAATTCAACAAACATGCTAGCACAAGATTGAACAGCCGTTTGAGTATTTTCAACTCAACTAGCTTTCTTCAACTCAACACAGTGAAATAAATCAGAATGAATCTGAAAGAGTGGATATAAAAATCCATTAAGACAAATTACATTTCACAGCCCAGTTCAGTAACAGCATTAATTCCTAGATCTGGCATTGTCTTGTATCAAACAAACAAACAAACAAAAGATATACCAAACATAAAGAATATCAAGTACAACCTAGTGAAAGGTATACATTCACACACAGACTGCTCAACCAAACTATGGAGTTCAAAACTTGAAGCACTACTAGAAGAGAAGAGCAATACCTCAGCACTACCTTTTCTGCAAACTCACTGATTATGAGAAAGAAAGAAAACATATAAAACTAGTTTTTTTCTAAGGATAATCAACCTGTCACATTCAAAGCACGTTATCTATATTCTATATAATTCATGGCCAACATAAAATGTCTTTTTATTGTCCCCCAGATACTGCTAAAGGCAGCCAAAATTACACTCACCAGACATCCCCCCAAAACAGAAAGCACAATAAATCACTGTTTTTCCCCCAAGAAAGGACAATCCATCTTCAGTATTAGAAGAAGAATATAGAATTTAATAGCACCAGTATATGTTGCAGTGTACTAAAAACACTCGATAAATAATGAGTTAAGACTGAGAACAGATATAAGTGTTCATGTAGCCAAATGAAGCTGATATTAAAGTTTAATAGCCTGTATATAACCTTGAGCATAAAAACCCAATGACTTGGATACAAGCACTTAAAGAGATATGAATCTAGCTCAATATTTATCAGAATATATTGCCAAAGTTTCAAGTCCTAGTGCTAAAACACTTCTTGGCCCTGAATCGGAAATGGGTTCTGTTGGAGTCAATCCAGAAAAACCAATTGGAATATGATTAGCAACATTCGGTGACTTGGCCTGAAAAATTCAAACTGAAATTCAAGGAAAGAAATTAGTAATTTAATTGGTTATTTCATAATTCTGAAAGTATAGTATGCTATCATTTAATTGCAAAATAATTTTCCATTAACTTTACAATTAAATTATACTTACTATAAAACAAAATTAAAATTTAATGTTCACAAGAACAATAAAGACGGTAACATGCTACTCACAATAGTAATAGCTAACATTTGTTAAGCTTTTATTATGAGTCAGGCACTAGTCTAAGTACTACATGTATATTCTCAAATCCTATAAAACTGGTACTGTGATAACTCCTGTAATACAGGTGACGAAACTAAGACAGAGAACAAGTAAATAATTTAACCAAGATCACACATTTGGAAAACAGCAATATCTGGGATTACTGGACCATTTGCCACTTTCTTCCCCTCTACTGCAGAAACTCAGGTTTGGTGGGCGTGGCGGGGTTGGCGGGGAATTAAAATTGATGCTCAAGTGTGTAAACTACAACAGTTTCAACTACTAAGTTCACATGTAACCCAGATTTTAAAAGGTGTTAAAGCGACTGATATTTGTTATACACTGAATAAATGTCACACAACAAACAAATATTTGCTGAAAAACAGAGTGTCAAAGGGGGAAATTAAAAGTTATTAAGGTTATTTTCTGCATCTAAAACATAAGTGGACAAACAAGGTCATCCAGTAATTTTGCTCTAATGAATAATACTGATAACCTTTTTAAACAGAAACTTGCCAAATAAGATAAATACATTTTGTCAGCAACTAAACTGAAAAGGATGGAAATACAAACATTTTACAGTGTATTTTCATTCACCAAATATTAAAAGGAACCCATTCAAAATAACGTGTAAAAATATAATGAAAGCTGTAAAAAACATAAAATAAATATATGTATTCTAATATTCAAGACAAATTTTACATCTAAAATTTAAAATGACAACTCCATTTTGTTGATCAATGACTAGCTTACCACTTCAAAAGAACAATACTTTATCTGGAATTTGCATATTTTCTCCCAAAATAGGTTGTCTCCTTAGATTTCTGGGACTTTTATGAATGAATTTCAGAGGTCATTAATAATATGAGTACTCTGAAAGTAGTTATTCATAATATGAATATTTTATTTAACACTTCTGTAGCTTTAGAAGTGAAACAGATCCTGAATTTCAAATATCTCTCAAATTTACCTCATTAGTTAAATTAGCTAAGTTTCCAGTTTCAGTATACTAAGGGCACTTTTTCCCTAATGTAGAGATAACTTGTATTATCTCTTCATAATCAAAGTCATGATCATTCTCATATCCACATCTTTCTAAAGGAATAAGAAAAACCAAAACCAAGAAAGATTTTCAAAATTTCAGAAAACTGTGCGGAACATTCATGCTTATATCTTCTCTAACAAAAAACACTAACTACAAGGAAGGCAAAAGTTCATTTTACCTCATTTTCTGAAATGCCTGGAAATCTACGCTGAAATGACTTAAATCGTTTAAAATCTAAAAAGTTGTTGATAAAGGTCACAATGATAAGGAATAAAATGGTGCTAAAATGCTTAATTACTTAATATATATTTAAGAGGTGTCCATTTTATACAAGCAATGAAATATCTTCCCTTGGGTGGCTTTTCTGATCATTAATCTTTTTATTGTGTAACAAGTAATACTTTGATATATTTAAGACAGTTTTTTAGCTACCAATTCAGTGGACAGACTCTTCATTTGCTTCTCTGTTGAAACTGTTGTCTCAAGAAACCCAGCATTACTTTCTAAAAAGCAGTCTACCTCTGAGAACCTGTGTGCTGTGGTTTGTCACTCAACTTCCAAGGTTCCCAGAATATACAAACACTAAGCCAACCTTCCAGTTAAGCTTGCACCTGTGCAAGGAGAAGTCCCTTCCACTTCTCCAGTCAAAATAAAGTCTAGAAAATTGTTCAGTACCCAATTACTGTAGTGACTGAATTACCAAAATAAATAAATACACTTTAAGCTGGTCTATTTCCATCACAGGATTTCAAGGCTACTCTCCCAACGCGACAGGTAAGTTTTAACTTGTGCCTGGCCAAAGGAAAAACGTTTGCCAAATAATGTTCCTGCTGCCATCCCTGCTGGCTTTTCGTTTGTCCAAATCGCTCTCTAGTCGTTGTCTTTTCACTTTATAAACGTCACTGAGAATTGTGCCCACCACAGCCCCACCCCACTCCCAATTCCCAGTGCAGGTTCAGATTGTGGTATTTGGTACAGTTCTTGAACTCCACATAGCCAGCTCCGGAACCGCACTGCGAAACGCACCCCGGATGCTTTCCCAAATCTATTCCCTCACTCTCACAATTCAGAAAATCGCTCTATTTATTCATTCTGAGAAAGTGGGCTCAACCCCCGCTTTTGCGCTGGAGAAGAAAACACAATCATTCTCTCTCTCTCTTCCTCATCCTCCCCAACTCCTTCCCCCTCTCCACCCTCCCCCCTTCCTAATCTCCAACCCTAAGAGCACTCAGACATCCAAAGTTTCTAATTCCTTCCGCCCTCCCCTGTCCCAAACACTGGGCAATCAGACTGGAGATAACCGACGCGGGGAAATCTGGGTTTCCATTGTCAAGGAGTCCCCTTTCCCCACAGCCGCTCTCATGTCCCCGCCCCCTCGAGGGGCTCTGGGGGCACCTTCATCGCTTCTCGCCTGCCCTCTAGAAAACCACCCGTAACTGGAGGCTACCGCGCGGCAGCTGTACCAACAGCAGGTGATCCAGGCGGTGCGCGGCGACGCCTTGTGATGGCATCCTGCCCTCTGAGGGCCACATGAAATGACCCCCAGCAGTCCTACGAAAGCAAAGAGGTGGAGGAGGGTCTATGCACCCTGCCCTGTGCCCCAGTCTCTCCCACCCTGTCCTCCGAAACAGAGGAGCCCCTAGCATCCGGGAGCGGGCTGGGTCGAGAAGGCAAGATCAATAAAGTTCAGCAAGTAAGACAGCTGGGAGCTGGGTGCTACTGAGTTCTAGAAAGGGGGAGTAGAGACGGAAATATCCGAAGGGGCGAAATGTAAATCGTGTCTACTGCAAAAGGGAGTCGTGCAGGGAGGGCCGCTCTCTATAAGGAGTTAACCAGCTCCTGGCCCGGACACCCCTGCCGGGCCTCCAGCGGGGCTCAAACCCGCCGCAGGTCAGCAGGGGGCGAGGGGTGCGGGGAAACGCCTGGGCTGCGAACTTACGGAAGAAAATGTACTCGGTGTAGCTGCTCCAGATCTTGTCGTCGCGGTACTGGTTGACGAAGGCGGCGGTGCCCGAGGAGTTACACGCCACCATGTGGAAGCCGGCCTCGGACAGGCGATCAAAGGCCTGCTCCAAGTAGGTGAACTTGAGGTAGAAGCGGGACGTGTACTTCTCCGGCTGCCGGTCGGGGTCGCGGCTCTCGTTGAGCGTGTCCCCGAAAACCTCCTTGGCCAGCGCGATGCGCCCGCACACCATGATGCGCGCCACGCGCCGGAACTTGGCGTCGGCCTGGTTGTCGCGCACGGTGGTGTAGGAGCCCCGGTAGCCCAGTGTGAGGAAGCCCGAGCGCTTGTCCGGCGCGCCGCTGCCGCCGCCACCACCGTGCACTCCCGGGCCCGAGGGCACGGCGGCCGCCGCCCCGCGCAGCAGCAACGCGTCGCTGCTACCCTGCGAGACGTTGTCCTCCAGGTCGCTCTGGCAGCCCTCGTCGTTGAGCGAGTTCTGTTTGATGACCTTGGGCGACAGCAGCTTGACCAAGTCGGTGAGCTGGAAATACTCGGCCTCGCGCAGGAGCCGCTCCTTCTCGGGGAAGTGCTCCGGCAGCGCGAGCTGCTTGTCCCGCAGATAATCCAGCACATACCTGAAAAGGAAGCCGTCCCGGTCGATGAAGAAGCGCGCCCGGCTGTCCCTGGGCAGCTCGCCCCGGCGCCGGGCGCCGCCACGGGGACTAGAGGGCGAGAACATGCTGGCCAAAGTGCTGTCCGGGACGCTGAGCAGCGTCGAGTGCTTGGTCACATAGACCTGGCCGCCCACATTCAGCTCCACTACTTCAGGGAAGGGCGAGGGTGCGCAGGGCCCCGGGGCGGCGGCGGCCGACGCGCCGGGAGAGCTGGACGAGGAGACCATCTCGCTAATGGGCAGGATGGTGCTGCCGCCGCTGCCCGTGTCCTTCAGAGCCATAGTCCCCCCGCCGCCGGCCCAGTGACCCGAGAGAGCTGCACTTTCTCGTTCCCAGAGCCCGCGCCCCAGCCCTCCGGGTGTTCTCTGCGCCCTCGGGCAGGGCGGCGCGTTCCTCCGGCCGGGGCAGCCCGGCTCAAGGCTCGGGGCAGCTGCGGGGTCGGCGGCGCCCAAGCTCCATCAGAGGAGAGATGCGCGGGAGAGGAGCTCCGCCGGTGCGGCGGCGGCAGTGGAGAGACAAGAAGGAGCGGCTGCTCCTTTGGGGCGAAGGCGGGGAAGTGTGAGAGAGACTTGCGAGAGGCTCTAGGACTGCTGCTCGGCTCTCCGCGGGGAGGGTGGGAGGAGGGGCCGAAGCAAAGAAAACTCGCCGCCCCGGCAGCTTGCTAGCGCGCCGCGAGGCCGGAGCGCCGACGGTGGCGCTAACTACTCCTGGCAGCCCGGGAGGAGGCACTGACGTCAAGCCCCGGACTGGGACCCGAGCCTCAGCTGTCATTTAAAGAGATAGGCTCCTGCCGCGGCTCCCGGGCTCCGACGCTAGGGGGCGGGACCGAGGGTCGAGCCTGCGAGAGGTGCCGCTCGGCGGCCAGCTGGGAGAGGAAGGCAGGGAGCGCCTAGAGCAAACGCGAGAAAAAAAAGACAGCGCTCTCCTTCGTTCATTTCACTCCCTCCTTGGGTCCATGACCACCCCCTTTCCTCCCTCCTTTCCTTCTCTTCCTTTCTTCCTTGCCTCTGTCCCCAGTAAAACTAGTTTTTTACACTCTCATTAAGGTAAGGAGTGGAGGAGCGGAGAGGGGAGAATAGGTTTTGATTATAGCAAAGATGTCAGGCTCCTAATTTGGCTTCCGAGCAGTGATTGCAAAAAGATTACGTGAGGGTGGGAAGATGAATCTCTTGAAGTGGCTTTATGATACAGTTTAAGTGAAGGGCTAAATGCGCGCACCTGTCTTAGAATCAAATTTTACGACTGCATGCACTGAATATTGTTGAAAAAATTTTAAAACTCTGAAATCTGATTTCAGTTCACAACAATAAAGGAGTGTAACGACTGTTTCCTTCCGACGCTTTTACAATATTTAGTTTTATAGTAGATGCTTAATAAATGTTTACAGAGGGAGAGACAGAGCCCGAGAGGAAATTTACTCGATTTATTAATTCTTTCTAATCCTGATCAGTCTCTTCATTAATCTCTCCATTTCCCTTTCAACTCCATCATGCAAGAAAAGTGGCTGATATTTTTATTAGTCTTCTAACCCCAAGAGTAAGGTCACAAATAAAAATTATATGAATTTAAGCTCACTTTAATTTCCATGTATACAAAGTACAGGTACAGTCTGCAAAATGAGCATTACTTGTGATAAAGAGTGAAAATAGGAATGCAAAAGAGAAATCTTTCTTCTACCCTGGGGCATACTTTTGTGTTCAGAAACATAAAGAATCATTGATTTATGAAGTACAAAAGAGAAAAGGATGTATTGTGGCACAAAGTAGTGTGCTTCAATTATCATAACAATATTACAGATGAACTTTATCCATTAGCAGTCGATATACAGATTTTAATATTTTTAAAAAAGTTAAATGCCTACTAATAGCTCCTTTTCTTCAAACCACCCAAAAAACTATCGAATTTCAGATATGGTTGTAAATTAATGCATTATTTTTGGAGCATTACAAATTATGTTTAAATCATTGATCCTTATAAGCTACATCCATAGACTATGTCATACCAATTTTGAGATTGCATTACATGAAGCAGAGAGAGCCTAATGGACCAATGAAAGAACACAATATATTTGCCAAAGGACTGAGACTTAAAAACGGGGTTTTGGTATGCACTGTCATGCAGTCCTTTTACTCAAAACTATTGTGTCCTGCCAAATTTATAAATTAATTTATCAAATTAACTAATTTAATTGATTTTGGCCTTCATTTAAAAGTTGAAACCAAGTATTAAAATATAGAAAAAAATACACTATTTTCTGCCTCATTAGAAGAATAAGAAAGTATTCGGGATTTAAAGTAATCATTCCTGGATAAATGAATTAATAGATGCTTTATAACCTTCATAGATGAATAAATAATAATGCCTCAAACCACTACTAATGAAGCCCATTTATCATAAGGTAAATGTCCCTAATGATAAGTATGGTGCAGACTGTAGAATTGTAATGAAGTGGATATGTAATAAATATGCATATGAATATGAAGTCGCTAATATTATCAGGTTGAAATCCATCTTTACTTTTGAATTAAATAAATTATGTCTATAAGATAAAATGGTCAAAAATTTATACTCTAAATGAATCATCTCAAAAATTCACAATGAATTGTATTGTTTGATATATTCATTTTTTAAATGATTCCTTCAACATTGATTAAACATTTTTTCTTAATTTCTTCCCTCTTCATACTCCTATTACTCTCCTCTGTCTCCCAGTTATACCCTTCAACCAAACTCAGACTGAACAAATCGCAGATCTACAATATTTCTATCTTTCCTCTTCCTTCTGCTAGGAATGCCCTTCCTCTTCCACCAGATCCCTAACCCATTCTCCCTGCTTACCAATTTCCTCCAGCTCTTAGTTTAAATATCACTTTCTCTGGAAATCTTTACATTCACTTATCCAACCTAGTGAAGTATCCTCCTAAGATGTTCCCATAAGATCCCATGTTTACACATGGGCAAGGTTTATCACACTGATTTGTAACTGTGGTCCACCAGATTGTAAAAATGGCATGCGACCGTATGCACTATTATATCCCCATGGAGGTAGACTATTGAGGTAGCCCATAAAGAGGTAACCAATTTATATTTGTTGAAAGCTCACTGAATAGAACTGTATTAATATCATAAATGGATGACAATGCATCACCTATGTGCTGGGTACTAGGCTAAATAATGAGATTGCAGAATTGAGTTAGACCTTGTTCTTCACAATTAAAATCAGGTAAAGTGAGAACCAGAATCTAATCAAAATAAACTCAGAACTGAAAGAGAAGAGAAAGCAAGAAAGAGGCACAACTGAAGCAATCCATTTGGTGAACTGAGCAATCAACACCAAATACCGTAATCAGAACCATTTTGCTCTAAGCCACAGACACCATTAATGTTCCTTAGACCAATTTGATCACACATATGGGTCCTTTAAGATCTTCTGTTGCTATGCAGAGACAAGGCAGCAAGCTTCTCTGAATAGAAATTACACTAGAACAGTTCCCATACCCGGCACATTCTTAAATAACACGGTCAAACCTGAGTGTCTCTAAAAGCACAGCAAACAAACCAAAAAGGATATATTGAGTCCAGATTTTAACACATAAATAATTTAAAATTTACAATAACAAATTAAATATTTCTTCACTAGGCAGAGAGTTACTTAAAGGTAGAAAACGTATCTTCTTCTAAAGGGGAAAGAACACAAAAGAAAACGAGATTTAAAAGCAAATAGAACTAGGTTAAAATCTAACTTTGTTTCTTACTAGCTTTTCAACAAGTTACTCTGAACCTCAGTTTCTTCATGGGCACAGTGGAAAAAACAAAGACCTCAGCTCATCACATCAATGATGGTTTGTAACAAGACCACCTTGTTTGATGGAGTTCACTATATTTATAATGTCTGTTTCACAGTATGGTTCTCAGGGATGGGAATAGAGTTACATCCTGACTACATAGATCCAAGATCCAGAAGCCGGTAACTGATTTTAGTAGCTCTACCTACCTTCCAGTTGTCTCACCCCTAAGGCCTGGGGTTACACAGCCCTGTCATTATGAACAGCCCCATACCATCATGTCCTTCCCTGTCTGTATCTATTGTTGTCTCCCTCATTGCATGTTATCATCCTAGACACTGATATAATTTCATTGATTTCGTTTACCTTGGTCCTGTTCTTTCTTTTTTTTTTTTTCTTTTAACTTTGTTCAATCTTTTGACCGTGGTCTAATTACTCCTTTTAGCTTGCTTCTGTCCAAGGCCAACTGTGCTTCTAATTTTCAGGAAACCATCTGGTATCTGTTAATCTAGTTCAGGACATTTGAAAGTTTTACCAAAAATAATAATAATACTAATAATAATAATAAACATAAACAAACAAAAAACCCTCAAGTATCTCATGTAATTCTAAGCAAAAAGCCTGACATTCTTTCCAGTATCAGAGTCTTTGCAATTTTTAGAGCAGGGCTATCTAATATAAATATAGGAACCATATATCTCATTTTTAATTTCTCACAGCCACATTAAAAAATAAATGTGAAATTACTTTAATAATGTAGTTTATTTAGTCTAATATGTCCAAAATCTCATTTCAAAATGTATTAATGACATAATTTACATTTTGTTCCACACAAAGTATTGAAAATATGGTATGTATTTAGCTCTTCTGACACATCTAAACAATTATAACATAACTTGGACTAGCTATATCTCATATGCTTAACAGTCACATGTGCCTACTGGCTTCTAAACTGAACAGTATAGCTCTAGAGCATTTGGGACTTTAAAGCATGTCTGTGTTTTGAGGATTAGGTAAGAAAATATAACTTTTAAAAGTTTTTTTTTTAATTTATTTTTTATTATTATTATACTTTAAGTTCTAGGGGACATGTGCATAATGTGCAAATTACAGGATTGTAATGAGAGGAGGCTGGATTCAACACTTGAGAAGTCATTTAACACATGGAATGGGGACCATAAAACATCACTCTGGCCAAAAAAAAAAAAAAGAGAGAGAGAGGAGAAAATATAATGTAATCACTAAAGAACTTAGATGTTCCTTACACAACCGTCACCCCCATAATGTTTACAGCATGTATCACTCTTGTGAAAAGCAGGCCAGGTCAGGGTTTATTTTGTGGGTATATGGACTTTAGCAAGTTTAGAAATAAAGAGCTTGCTATCAGAGCAAACAAAGCAGCGTTAGCCTTTGTAGGAATAAGACTGAAGATAAGATGGGAAAGATCTACATTCAGCAATTGCTGCTGAATCTAGGGAAAGTTGGAAAGCAGAGTATGCATTGCCCCCAAACCTCACATGTTAATTGTAAGAGTGTCAATGGTTCTATAAAATGGAAAATTTTTGCAAATCAGGTATTTAGGAAACTCAGAGTATCTATGCTTAATGAACACATTAAATAATATATTCCAGCAACTTTAATATCTTAATATAATTCAATATGAGTTCTGATTCTATATTTGAAATTGTATAGAAATACTACTAAAGTTTAGGGTAACACCTGGTTAAACTCTGTAAAATTAGATACCCAATGAAATTCATGAAAGCTTGTCCAGATTATGATCCAGTATAGCTAAGCATTTAATTTAATACCTGGCACATAAATAGTGATCAACAGGTACTTGCCAAAATTATTTGCAAACTATTTTCTTATTAAC